GTGATTTTTAGCATCGGACCATTGGCTGGGCACATTCCAAAAGGTTTCCCCGGCATCTTAGTCGGCATATCTACGATAAATTTTATAATATAATTATATTATAACAAATCATAGCTTTTCAACCATTCACTTTCAATTACGAAATCAATGAGCTTTAAAGTGTCAATCGGCCATGCAAACATGTATTTGCCCCCAATTTCAAACATACTACTATAAATTGAATGAGTAGGACTGAAATCTGCATGCAGATAAAATGTGTATAAGGCTGACGATAATTCCTAAAGACCTAATCTGCCCTTTTCTGCACAGATTGATTGTTTGATAGGCGAGAGAGGATCTACAGATCGCGGGCGTTCGAGGCATCATCGAATGTCAAGTCGCCCATCGCGTCGGACCCCCTCAGAGGGTACCACATTTCGACGGTCTCCTTTTCCACCATTCGTTCTATGAACGATGCAATTTGGGCAATTGTGTCCGCATCAAATGGCATATGGCTTTGGCTTGTTGCGAGGCAAACAGTGAATTTAATGCTTGCCGCTTTCGTCAGTTGTTCAGTCACTTTCAGTCGGCAATGGCTTTTCGACTGCTCACTTGTGTTCGTGTTCATTACGGCGGATGAATAAAAGAGCACAGAATTGATAAAAAAATGCACATTAATGGGTAGGATTCATTTATTTACAAATGGGCATTTAACACACACGTGAAAAGGAATTATTTACAGCCTCAATTGTGGACACCAGAAAAGGTAACAGCCAAGAGGGGCCAAAGGATCGGCGCTGGTATGGCCGGTCGTGCCATGAAAAGGCAGGAAGGAAGTGAGAAACGAGAAGAGGGCGAGGTCTGAAATGGGCATAAACTCGTAAAAGTCCATCTGATACCCAAAAGTGGGTAGAACTGGACAGAAAACTGGTACGAATTGGAGCAATGCAGGCAGGATTCAGTGAAGACAACTTGAAACAATCGGCAGTTGGTATTCTTCGCGGCTAATGAAGGCGGACGTACATCTTTTCAGACTGTTTTGTTTAATCCTGAAAACGGCTTCTGTCTATCCTCAGACTACAGCACCTCCTTGTCAGGACCAGAGTCTGCGAGGCCTGGTTACAGATCGTCGGTACTAACATCAGTTTAGTCCGGTATCTAAAAAGGATCAAGTTAAGTGGATTTTAGATATTTACAATGAAGTAAATGCATAAATAAATTTATGAATATTTAATTGAAGGAAAAAAAACAACCATACAAAAATGACTAATAAATTAATATAAAAAGCAAATACATGAATGATCAAATTAACATTGCTCAAATATATACATAAATTAATACATAAATTAATGAATAAACAAAAAAAAACTAATATTTTAAATGAATTAATTTAGATCAAAAAGAACAAAGATATTATTATCTTTGCCGTTATATACATATTCATGTCACACTAGTTATACCATATAGAACAGGTAACAAGCTTATAACAGCTGTAATAAATATAATATAGCATAATATTAGATAAATAACTAAGTATACACAAACAAAACAAATTTATTTATATAGTTAGTAGACACAGTAAAATAAATTTAAAAAAAATATATATATGATATTATTTAAATTAATTAATAAATCGTGCCTTAGTAATTCATTTATTCATTTATCGAGTTATTTGTAAATTGACCTATTTATTCATTTATGCAATATAATATAATATATTTTAATATAAAGTAATAATTTAATAGTGACATGAATATATATGTCTATATGTATATAAATTTAATTCCAACTGTGTACTTTTTATATTGATTAATTAATTATATTTATTCGCGTGTTTTTCGTTTATATAAATATTTATAAATCTTGCCGTTTGTTTACTTATACAATATATGTCCTATATTATAATTGGTTTCTATTTTAGCTTTAAAGAGCAAAATTTGGTGCTGAATACTCAGCCAAAGGTGTGAAGGATGAGTGATCTGCCCTTTTCATAATGCCGATAATTGGAAAAAACCCTCAAATGAAAAAAAAAAGATATAATTTTGAAACTAGTCACGTCCACCGACCTTCGATAGGCCTTGAAATACTCCTGGCCAGCACATTATAATTGGATGTCCTGATTTTAGTAATGCGTTAACCCCCAAAAAGTACAATTTCATAGGTTTTTGAATCGCCCAAATGTGTCGTAAGAAGCTGTTTAATAGCAAAATCCTTTAACAAAAAACAATGAACAGTTCCGACGTCTCGGCCAGCCTCGCTTTTATAGCCAATTAACTGGGTAGTATCGATGCCAAATTTAGCTTTCAGTAGATTTGTAAACTGAAAGAAAATACTTTTATCGACAATAACTTCTTAGACGCCTGAAGAGATAAGAATTCTTTCTTTTAAACAAACTTTTTCTGGTAGGCAAACCACACTTATCGTTCAATCATCATGTTGTAAGCCGACAAATGTTGAATAGAGATGCTTTCCGAACTAAATGTAGACATTTTTTGCGTAAAATGGCATATTATTTGTCGTTACTTTCTGAGTTGCAGAGTAACAGGTTAAGCTTAATTGCTCTCCAACGAATATAAATGGTTATCGAGATACATGCAATAGATGCCGGTTGCTAAACCCCCTTGAAGTTTTCCGTCTAATAGATGAATGGAGGCAAAGCTCGCTGGACAACTGACTCAACTAACAACTATACTTTGTTGCTAAGCTGAAGTTGGTCAGCCTTTTGTGGAAACGGCAATATTGGATTGCATTTTGTGAGAATTACATTTACTATAAATGGCGCCCAGGAGTTAAATCAAATAAACAAAGTTGGCTTCTAATAAAATAATTATAACATCTACAGATATTACTATACTACTTATTTTCTACTCAAATTCAAAGTCCACCCTGGATGAGAACTACTTTTGCGTAAGCAAGACTATGTGAAATTGAATGGAAACGTCAGCTCAATTCATATTATTTTGGGAAAATTCTACTACCACAAGTCCTTCATCAGCTTAGACGAGATAGGCTGAATACATCTCATATTAAATCAAATAAACTAAGTTGACTTCTAATAAAATAATGCTAACATCTACAGATATTACTATACTACTTATTTTCTACTCAAATTCAAAGTTGTATTGAAGATACAACATTGATGCAAAGAAAAGTTGGTTTTTAAGGAATCTCTTGTTTCATTATTGTTCCACCAGAAGACGACGGCGAATTCCTTTTGACCAGCTGTCGATTGGCTTTACTGGAACATTCAGGCTGAGGCTGTTTCCAAAGTAACCTACTTCGATTCCGGTGAAACGGTGCTAAGCTCTCGTGCGTCGTGTGACAGACATCATCAGAACAAGGTACCATCGTGACAACAAAATTCAAGCCAACAAGTCAAGTAAACTCACCCTTGAATCTCTTCGCCCAACACTTTCACTACAACTTTGATGCCGGAAAAAGGCGTCAGTTGGTGATAAAGATTTCTAAAAGAAAAAAATTTCACCTTCACAATGACAGCGGCTACCAAAGTTGTCGTAGGTATTTTGGTCAGAAAATAGATAATAAATGATAATAACCGAACTATTTATATGAATTGTGCGATCATGGAGGGACGTTTTCGAATCATTTCGCCAATTCCATACATACATAAAGATTTACATACACATATACATCATTTCATACAAGCATACTATTCAAACACACATGCATGCAGACACGCAGACATACATCAGCACATGTGTATTCGAGTATGCATGCACATTTACAACTATCCAAACATGCCCGCAGGCAGACATACAGACATGCAGACAAACAACAACACATGTGCTTGTATGCATGCGTACATCACACATACATGTGCACATGCGTTCGCAACTAAATCTGGAGGTGCATACTCACAAGTTGACAACACTCTTGAACAGAGGTTGTTTGATCTGGTTTTTGCAACTTGGTCATATTAGCCGTAAGACGTAGAAGAACACACCCAGTCCGGAGTACATTGTATGCATCATCATTTCCTGAGTAGGACTGTGGACTTGGTACATTCACAGACATTTCGCTGGCACCGTAGTCAGCGTCCTCAATGAGCCTTGCCAGCTCGTTAGTGGCAAGAGGAGATACCAAAGTTGTTTAGTGGACTGTTGTCTCATTTTTCGTTTACAAGTAGGCTTACCAGACTACCTGTAGATTGAATATATTTTTCTTTTTTAAGGTGACCAAGGACTGAAAGTGGAATTTTCCCACAATGATATGAGTACATGCAAAGA